AATTCGATATGCGCAAATATCGAAAAGAACCGAGATCTTTGTGTTATAAACTTACATTTCAAGTTTCAACAAAATCGGATAAAAATTGTGACTTCTATAGGATCCACAACCTTGATATACCATATTTTTACGCTATTTGAGAACGAACGGCGGCCATTTTGTCTGTCAGTTTTGGGCCGATTTTCACGAAATTCGGACTCAGTCGTGCTTAGGGTGTAACGGTGATATAATACGTTTTTTTAAATCGGATAAAAATTATGACCTCTATAGGGTCCACAAGCTAAAAATGCGATTTTTCATACAATCAGGGGCCATAATTCAGGAAGTTACGGTCCGATATGCGCAAATATCGAAAGTAACCAAAATCTTTGGGTTATAAACTTACATTTCAATTTTCAACAAAATCGGATAAAAATTGTGACCTCTATAGGGTCCACAACCTTGATATACCATATTTTTACGCTATTTGAGAACGAACGGCGGCCATTTTCTCTGTCAATTTTGGACCGATTATCACGATATTCAAACTCAGCCATCCTTAGGGTGTAACGGTGATATAATAATATGTTTTTTTAAATCGGATAAAAATTATGACCTTTATAGGGTCCACAAGCTAAAAACGTGATTTTTAGTACAATCAGGGGCCATAATTCAGGAAGTTACGGTCTGATATGCGCGAATATCGAAAGGAACTGAGATCTTTGGGTTATAAACTTACATTTCAAGTTTCAAAAAAATCAGATAAAAATTGTGACCTCTATAGGGTCCACAAGCTAAGTGATTTTTCGTACAATCAGGGGCCATAATCCATGAAGTTTCGATCCGATACATGCCAATATCGAAAGCAGCCGAGATCTTTTGGGGATAAACCTATATTTAAAGTTTCGTCAAAATCGGATAAGAATTGTGACCTGTAGAGAGTCTACAAACAATTGTGGACGTCTGGACGGACAGGGGCGACAGCATAATACATCCACATGAAAATGTGGGCGTATAAAAATTATGACCTCTATAGGGCCCACAAGCTAAAAACAGGATTTTTCGTACAATCAGGGGCCATAATTCAGGAAGTTACGGTCTGTTATGTGCGAATATCGAAAGGAACTGAGATCTTTGGGTTATAAACTTACATTTCAAGTTTCAACAAAATCGGATAAAAATTGTGACCTCTATAGGGTCCACAAGCTAAAAACGTGATTTTTCGTTCATGAAGTTTCGATCCAATATATGCTAATATCGAAAGCAACCGAGATCTTTTGGAGATAAACCTATATTTCAAGTTTCATCAAAATCGGATAAGAATTGTTACCTGTAGTGTCCACAAACAAATTGTGGACGGACAGGGGCGATGACAATATACGTCCACATGAAAATGTGGGCGTATAAAAATCTATAATTATGGTCTATTGCATGAATACGGTTTGTATGTTGCATTCATATATTGAACGGGTGTCAGTAAACTCGTCCACAAGCAAACACGTACGCAGTTAAGTCGTCCACAGGGGGGTATTGGTTATGTCGTCCACATCTAATATTTAATAATTTAATTGTATGGAGTAGTTGTTTATATTGTTTTATTTACCCAATAATCAATTATCTTGGCAAACCGATCATGACCGAGATAAGTTCACCGATGTTTTTGTAATAAAGAGCAATAGTATTGTTTGTTGATTAGCTTTATGATTTTAGACATAATGATAAGTTCACCAATGTTTTTGTAATCAAGTAAACACGTATTGTTTGTTGATTGATGTTATCTCATGATTTAAAATATTTGGCGATGGTTAATATCACCTCACATAATTTACATTGCTGAGAGTTGTTAGTAGACAACACAAATAATTTGTATGTGATTGGCTTCAAAAGAACGTAAGTTGCCAATCATTCTTTGAACTCTTGGTATTACAAATGTAAAAATAGCCAACAAGCCTGGCTGCATGATTCTTTCAAGACAATGTTCTTTGATGCGTAGACATGTCGTCTCCCAACCAGCCACGATGGCGCCTTAGTTTAACCAACGCTATTATAAACCACACAGTGGATTTGATCATGTATTAATGTCTGCTGCATTATTACTCATCGCAGACGTCCACCTGCGAATATGTTGAAGTTGTTGTATATAAAATGTTAAAAAAAACAATACACATCACATGTTATTAAGCGATTTATATTTTGATTAGCATAATAGGCGGATTCCTGATGTAATGACATTTGTTATATATTCGTTTCGGGTTAGTTTGGCTTCCAATAGAAGCCAATATTAGAAAATATAAATAATAAATACGATAAAACATCAAAGAATGAACCGAATACTGGTGTGATTTTAATGGATTAAGTAAGTTGAACAGTAGATACAAGACAAGGTGATCAACAAAGGTTAAAAAGTAATTTCACTGATTGAGTACAATTACGTATGTACACTAGCGCATGCAGCAAACGCCACAAAAGGGTCAATCACACCGGAAAATTATATTCCTGAGTATTATGATTCTGAGATATTCAATCAAATTGATTTCCTTTCCTTTGTGGTATGAGTTGTAACGACATATTCTTTGATCTGGATAAACAATGTACCAATACTACCTTCATTTGGTGAATCGCATAAATGTATTCGACGTACAATTTTTAAACAAAAAGTTCATGACGAATAGGTCCTTCAATCGAAATACATTTTTGTTCTAAAATAAAACGAGTGCCCAGAATCTTTGTGTGGATTTGAAAGCAGTTCCAATCAACAAATATTCAAATAGATAGTAGACCTGTGATGCGTTCATTTCATTTCATTTTGCGGTAAGTACGACCTTGTGCCTAACATGAAACAGCACTTGAATATACTACCATCAAGATCGATCATCAAAATAGTTTTGTAGTTTGCAATTTAAAAATATATCGTGTGCCGTGATTCTACAGCAAATTTTAACCATCATACTTTATTACATTAAAAAAGTGTATACACGAAAAATGGAAATAAAAACAACAAAAAACGAACGCAATATAAAATGTTGAAAATGTAATGTAGTCGTTCTATAAAGCTATGCATACGTGTCCTTCACTAGACATGCCGCTTTACGTGTCTCCGTTGAAATATAACCGCATATGTACATTCTCTCTTTACAGCGTAGCTCTTCGCGTCAGGATTATTGACGAAACTATTCAACATTTCGTGGCAGTTTGTTAACGTCGTGGAAGTATATCTTTTTGACATCAATTGTTTATGACTGATAAATATCGTTGATTTTACATATCAAATTACACTGAGGCTTATTGTGTCACGCGATAGCGACTGCTACACCGAGTTATTTATCGTGGCAATTTTCAACAAAAAACGACACGACAATCGTGTTTAGTCAACTACAAGTTAACACACAATTTTTTGTACAATCAGGGGCCATAATCCAAGAAGTTAGGGTCCAAGATCTTTGGGTTATAAACATACATTTCAAGTTTCATCAAAATCGGATAAAAATTGTGACCTCTAGAGTGTCCACAAGCTAAAACGTGATTTTTCGTACAATCCATATAAAGAGTCTACCAGTACTCTCAATATAAGTTGGCATTTATACTTCTGCTTTATTAAAATTTATTTCAATCAAAAAATCAATGATTCCTTTGTAAAATCAAAATATCGGTATAAACAATTTGTTAGGATGCATAGAAATTTAGCAGAAGCAGTGATAATTCTAACGGTATCGGTCGGGTGGAAAAGTCAGCAAGAAGTCACATGATGTAAAACAAAGCTCTATAACGGCATTAGCAAACATCGTTCATGACAGTATTTATTCTTCATTAAACCAATCTGAATCTGATTAAAATACAGATCTATATTCCGTTTCGTTTTTTTATACTTTCAATGGCCTAGCCGTGAAATATATATTGGAGGGGTCCGCAACCCTAACCCTAACCCATTTTTTTAAAACCCCTAAAAAATATAAACAAACACCATTTGGCCATGCTGTCTACCAAGACACCGCATGCAAAAGCATTATGGTCACATTGCTGGCTGAATGGGCGATAAATATTTGGTTTAGGCGGTTATGTTTTTGGGTACCTACATACATGCGATTCACTCTGATAAGTGGCAGAAAAAAATTAACAAAATATTACTGACAGGCTAACTAGACACAATTTTATGGAACACAGGTACTTTTCACTTCACACATGTTTCCAGGATGATTATCTCTGTGTTTTATTTTAGCAATGTAAACCATATTGGGATATGTACAGGTTTTATACAGATAGAATCTTAACTAATCCTAATAATTGTTGTAAATAAATAGGAGTTTGGGCCTACTATGTAAATTTTGGGGGGGGGGTCCAAGTATATTCAGACCCCCCAGAAAAACAATGTGTGACGCCCATGGTTCCGTGAAAAACACGCCTAAAGCTCGCCGTAACAGACCGTTTCATTGGTTTATCCCTGACACCATTCAGAACGCGAGTTAAATAACAACTCTTCCAGATCCAAGTGTAGTAAAGACAAGTAAAACGAAATTTTGAACTATAAAAACGAAATGAAATAGGATCTGTGTTTTAACCAGATTGTCATTAAACAATAAAATATTGCAAGTAACATAAAAAGGAAGACATTTTTTCAATATTTATATTAAATATCATCCAGAAAAAATAAAATCACAATATATCGCAGTATGTTCAGTTTTTCAATACTTTTCTGAAGAAAGTATTTTTTACAGTGTTTATTTCTGTGACGGTTTTATATCGAAAAACCAAAATATCTGCCAGCTCTAGTAGAAGTAGGGAATTATGAGTTAGTTCTATTCTAGACATATTCAGATGATTATTTAAAATATAGCACCTATGACCAACAGGAAATAAACATGACATCTGCAAAATTTTGGAATTAATAAAGAAAATATATAGTTTTTATTATTGTCAATAAACATAAGAATACATTTTCTAACCACAGATAAACAATATGTCTACCCATATTGTCACTTTAAACAATTTAAACTTATCGTCCTGATAAAATTTCTCAATCATACCTTCGGAAAGCTTCAAAAGCTGTCTGAGCAGCAGTTGGTATGGAGCATCTTGGTGTAGCAGATTGAGTTGGCCAGAATCCAGTTGTTAAAACTCTCACTGTTAAATCGACACCACTTAAATTAACCTGAAATACAGAAAAATAATATTCAAAAACTTTAGATACTATAATGAAATGGGCAAATGTTAGAATCTTAACTGAACAAATTGAAACAAAATAGACCAATTCCTTTTTCTATCTTAGCTTATTTATGATATATTTTTTTTTTAAAGTGATAATTTCATATTTTCAAAGAAAGTCAAAACATAATTATTTCTATGTCTTTTGCTCAATAGGTTGTCAACTCACTATTATACGTTCATAGGTATTATTCTCCAACTTAAAAATCCTTTGACCCTGGAAATAATAACACAATTACCTCCCTTGTTTTCCTATTCTCCCCATGGAATAGCTATCTTCAAACGTTTGAATTTAAAGTTGAAAATGATATTTTTGCTAATTTCTCAACTGGCAATAGTGAATTATAGGATTAATAGAATTATTCTTTATCAAGTTAGGACTTTTTATAGATACCATCTATTTTAAGGCTTTATTTTGATACATTTTAAAAATATAACTTAAAAATATGAAATTGCAACTTTAAGAGACAAGTGATTTAATTTGAGGTTGTTGTAATATGCTATTAATGAAACCGCAGGACCATTAACATCAATTTATTGGTTATTTAGAAAGATGAGAGAGGATTAAACAATGCAAGATCCAACAGTCTATGAACATCAAGCAGCCATATATAGTAATGATATCTTACTAAATTACATTTGAGGAGTTACAAGCCAACAGTGAGGCTGATGTCCCCCGCCGAAATCCCAAAATAAATAGATGACACATATTCATTAATCGCACATTTATTTTTTTTCAAAAGTATCAAGCAATCAAACAAATTATCACCTATACACTAAGTTTGATCACTCTCTATCATATAGAATCAAAGTTATCGATCCTTAGCCTAAGCAGAAAATTGTCATTAACAAACTTAGTCAAGGTAATGATATAACGAATCTATACTCAGAGTTTCATCACTCTCACTTAATTAAAACCAAAGTTATCAACCAATCAGATTGCTTATCTCTGCTGACCGTAAGCAGACAAGCTTTATCATCGAACTCCATCAAGACATTCACCTAATGAATGCCTACACCAAGTATGAACATTCTTCCTCAATTAGAAGGAGAGTTGTGTTCCAAAGTCTCGACCAATCAAATTGCTTATCGCTCTGCTTACCCATAAGCAGAAAATGCTTATTTATGGAACTTACTCAAGGTATTGATGAGATAAACCTATACACTAAGTGTCCCCACTCTCACTTAATTAGAACTAAAGTTATCGTGTCCCAAAGCATCGACCAATCAAATTGCTTATCTCTGCTTACCCTTAGCAGAAAATGCTCATCTTCGAACTCTATCAAGGCATTCACCTAATAAACACCTACACCAAGTTTGAACATTCTAGCTCAATTAGAAGGAGAGTTAATGTGTTCCAAAGTCTCACCCAATCAAATTGCTTATCGCTCTGCTTACCCATAAGCAGAAAATGCTTATTATCGAACTTAGTCAAGGTATTGATGTAATAAAACTATACACCAAGTTTCATCACTCTCACTTAATTAGAACTCAAGTTATCGTGTCCCAAAGCATCAACCAATCAAATTGCTTATCGCTGCTTACCCTAAGCAGAAAATGCTCATCTTCGAACTCCATCAAGGCATTGACCTAATAAACACCTACACCAAGTTTGAACATTCTAGCCCAATTAGAACAAGGCATTGACCTAATCAACACATACACCAAGTTTGAACATTCTAGCCCAATTAGGAAGAGAGTTATCGTGTCCCAAAGCATCAACCAATCAAATTGCTTATCTCTGCTTACCCTAAGCGGAAAATGCTCATCTTCGAACTCCATCAAGGCATTGACCTAATAAACACATACACCAAGTTTGAACATTCTAGCTCAATTAGGAAGAGAGTTATTGTGTCCCAAAAAGTGTGACGGACAGACAGACGGACGGACAGACAGACGAACCCATTTTAATAGTCCCCTGCTTTCTTCGAAAGGCGGGGGACAAAAATAGACAACAAATTTCAGTTGTACATTTTTTATCTTGAACAAAATTGTCTACCAATTTATTGAAAATTAAATGGGGTTAACCTCCTACTTTTCTGTATCAAATGATTGATAGAATTGGTTCCTTACCTGTGCTTGTTGTACAAATGATTTAAATTCATCATTTATAGTATTAGATACAGTCATATCTTTAAACATTCCTTCTAACTTTGACGTAAACTGACAACCACACTCGGTCTGAAACACAATTAAAACAATTTTTATTAGGGTTTCACACTGCGTAGCTTGTGTGAAACACTATTGTTTTTGTTAAAATTATTAGGGTTTCACACTGCGTTAAGATTATTCTTATTATTATTAAGCTTTCATATGTATATCATATGAAAGCTTATTGTTTCTGTTAAGATTATTATTATTATTTTTTTTTTGGTGTTTTTCCTGCAAATCTTATATCTCAGAATCTAACCGTGGGATCTTTCTGAAACTTTGACCTACCCCCCCAAGAATGGGTGGTGGCTTTGGAATAGGAATATTTTCAAAACGTTTTACACATCCGAAATCACCGAATTTTACGAACAAATCCATTTGACTTACTTTGCTGTAACTTTGTGACTATTTGACCTATTTTACTAAAAAAAAAATTCTTTGAGTACCTTGAATCATTTACTTCAAATCTGCAATTTCGGATTTTCGAATTTCGAAAATTCGTCGCTGTGATTTCGAACCGGAAGTTAAAATCAACTTGACAACTTCTTTAATAGTTGCACGATTTTCATGAAATTAAGTATGTAAGTAGATCTTACCGATACAACTTGAAAAATGTCATTAGAAATTTTCTGTATTATCTCCCCTTGATGAAATTAAGGATCAAAGTTTTCAAAAAAATCGACGAAATATAGGTCCGATTGCCTTGAAATTGTTTTTCTTTACTAGCTACGACACTACTGATTCGTACACAAAAAATTGAGTTTGTGGCCCAAACCGGAAGTGCCACCATCTTGAAATGTGAAAAATCCCTAAGGCTTTTTTGATATTTTACTTACAGACAAGGCAATTATATTTTCCGAATCCTTGAAGAAATGTCTAAACAATGTTCGAGCAGAATTTTGATTTAGGTCAACTGATGGACGCCATTTTGAATTGAAAATGAAAAACAGTGAAAAATCCACATTAATGGGCTTGAAGACATACACAATTGGTCGTGGCTTAAAGAATCTGTCCCCTATTACCGAAATTAATACATTTCAGGATAGCCTGGATCATGGTCGTATGTTTGGTATTTGAATATTTCTAAAATTCGAATTTCGCCTTTGATGTTTTCCGTGCCGACAAGGTTGTTTTCGAGTTTAGCTGGTTTTGACTTCGCGTGTGCGCTACGCTGGAAACAAAGGTACCATGAGTACCAAATTTCAGGATAGCCTGGATCATGGTCGAATGTTTGGTATTTGAATATTTCAAAAATTCAAATTTGGCCTTTGATGTTTTCCGTGCCGACAAGGATGTTTTCGAGTTTAGCTGGTTTTGATTTCGCGCATGCGCTACGCTCGAACCAAAGGAACCAATAGATGAATACCAAATTCCGGCTAGGAACTTTTCACGTTGGTACCTAGGTACCCTGAAAATTTCAAGGTGATACCTGCATTCGTTCAAGTCGTTTGTTCTTGGCACGGCTCCAGGTCAACTGCCGTTCGTTTTTTTTTTCTAAGTCAATTCACGTCTTCTATAAGGGGAAAAAAGTGGAATTTCGCCGCGACACCGGCACAGATTGTCCGAAAATCATGAAATTTGGACACAATACGCCCATTACCACCCCGGACTCTGTGCTTTACCCCCATTTTGATCACATTAAAAAAAAGGAGTTTCAGCAAAAAAAACCCAACCGATTTTCGGAATTTGGTTTTAATTAATTTTGAAATTCCAAATGCAAAGGGATCTTATCGCCTCTTCCGTATGTGGTTGCTATTAGTACTATACACATTATCCGGTCCAGTCTTCAATATAATTTGTGATAGAATTACTTATTTATAAAAAACTGAATGATATAAAAATAAAAATGGTTGTAGTGCCCAAGTTTAGATTTGTCGTTGCTTTCATAAAGATGTTAGGATATACATGTAGAACGTTAAATACTGTGTGATTCAACATGGCGGCCGAGGGGTTTAATATGATATAAGTACGAAATACATGTACATGTAGTTCCAAATGGTTTATATGTATGAGAGTCAAGGTTTGGAGTATAATGTCTTGGGGCAGTAGGAGTCGACTAGTATGTGCCTCTCTTTAGTGGACCGATGTGAGATTGCCCATTGTATTAACTGGACGGGTAGGCCTATTCACCTTCGGTTATGTGTCAATGTCAACTAAGCGGCTTCATATCACCACGATCGGCTCTGGTCCGGTTTAATTCTACATATCTCTCGTAGCTGAGAGAAAAAAGATTTTTTAGCCGAGAGAATATCTTCCGTCAAAGTGGTTGTTGATTCATAGATTCTAATAACCCCTTTTGCAGTTTATATGAAAGCTTTGATATCTGCTATGCAGATCTAGTTCTTATTAGGCTTTCACCTTCGGTGAAAGGCTATTGTTATTACTAAGATTAATATTATTATTATTATTTTTTTTTTATTGGGGGAAGCTAGATCTCAGCAACTATAAGAGATAGAGGTTTGAAATTTGATTTTCTGTCAGAAAAGTGGTGTGCAGCTACTGCTTAAAGCTATTTCGAAATTTGTGCTCACAGCGGAAATGCGTCAAATCTTTAACGTGCACGAAAATTGAAAATCGGCCATTATTCTCTTAATTCTCAATGGATTCTTCAGATATTTACATTTTTGGATAGCTGGAGATATTTCTGAGCAGATAGCAGTTCAAAACTGTGGAAATTAGAAACTTTGTAGCTGTCATTTTTTTGGGTGAAAAATGGAAAATTTTCAAAATTTTCTAAAATGTTTAATTTTGGGAATTTTGAAATTTCAGTTATATTTTTGGATAGCTGACATCAATCTGATTCCAACAATATAAGTTTTGTTCTGAACTGTTGACTTTGATTTTTCACATTTTGGTCAAATCGTAGAGTTCTTATTTTTTTAAAACGTCTCTAACGATTTTTCTGAAACTTCAGATATATGAAGTCGAAGGACCAAACCAGTGCATGAACTATAAATGAAAATCCTCTAATCACCGGAAGTAGTCAAGAAAGGTATCCAAAGTTTGACAAAATTGTGAAAAATGGGTGCCTGTGAGGAAATTATTTATTGTTCGATTTGTATAAAACAAAGTTCATATGCTCTGTTGTCTCATTTGTCATTTTTTTTGTTACCAATAGTGTTATCTGTCGGCACCGGAAGTGGCATAATTTTACCAAAAACTACAATTTTGACAGTTAGGTACCATTTTTCAAAAGCAAATATTAGTTTTTTTAAAACTGATATAGCTAAAAGAGTGTGCCCTTTAAAAGCGCAAAAAAAGGTGAGCTTAGTTTTTTTTAATTTCGATTTCATTTTCGAGCAAATTCGATTTAGAGGTGAAAAAAGGTCTAAAATTAACCTCTTTACAACCCATTCAGGCTTTTCAAATATCTACGTAACTTTTATAACCTTGTAGCTATAATCCATACGAAGAAAATGTATGTTAAAATTAGTTTGTAATATAAGCAGTTGCCTAGAAATGGGCAATTTTGTTGAAGTCCCCGTTTTCGTTATTTTGCCTGTAAATAGTCAATTATTATTGGATTTTTATAAAAAAGACATAAAGGATTTTTCTGAAACTTCAGGAATATGAATTCGAAGGATGAAATTAGTCATTAAAGTAAAAATGAAAATTTTCTATTCACCGGGAGTGGTAAAAAAAGTGCCCAAACTTGGACAAAATTCAGAAAAATGGGTGCCTGTGCGGAAAATGCGATGTATCAATTGTGTTCTTGTTGTTTAGTTAAAGTTTTATATCGTTTAATAGCCAATCGAATAGTCTATCAGATGGTACTTCTGGGACAAGTTTCTATCAAAAAATAAAAAAGTTATGTGACTTTGAAAAAAAAGGTATTTTGCGATTCCGAGCAACTTTCGACGCATGTTTCTCGGAAACGCCCCCAAATTTTTTTTTTAAAACTTTCTCAATCGAGAGACTAATGGGTACCCTGTTGTTTGAAACCCCTGTATCATTTTTTGAAATGTCAGGGGTAGCCAAAAAAAGAGATCGAAAATCGAAAACGTCGTATTTTTACGATTTGGAGCATTTTTAGAGATCTATTTCTCGAAAAGTCAACATAATATTTTTTGGGAACTTCTTCTACAGAGAGGCCTATCAGTAGTGTTATATATAAAACCATTGTACAACAGTTCCAAATTTCAGGAGTAGGAGAACAAAGGGATCGAAAATTGAACACGGCACCTTTCATTGTTAAGCGAAACATAAGGTGGGATACAATCTGTACGTTTTGTCAACGTATAGAGCCTGTTCAAGAGTGCTTTTATCATTGATCATATTTGAACTGAAATTATTTCAACTATGAATGTTTTCTTCTATCCAAAATATGGGTTTAGTGACCTTGTAACAGAAATAGTTGATTGCTGTGTGTAATAATTAGTCTTTAAATTAATATTGTTGCCTCTTTGTCAAAATTATCTTATTATACCGGTAATCATCTGGACAGAAATCAACGGCTCGCGCTGTTTATAATCAAGTCAAATTTATGAAACTGTTGCAGTAGTATCGGACAATATTATCAAATATTGCACCTATAATAAAAGGCATGACGTTGTTTGAGCATGGACTCTATCTGTAATTAATATTAAATTTTTATTAGTGACGTCAAATCTTTAACGTGCACGAAACCAGAAAATTGGCGATATTTCATTGAATATTCAATCAATTTTTGAACCAGTTACATATTTGAGTAGCTGACATGAACGCGATTCTGAAGTCCCGTGTACACATTGGTGTGACCGTAAAAGATTCCTTGGCGGTTGGAATTCTATATAAAAGAAGACTAGCGCCGCTGTACGAGCATGTTTAGAGGTCTTTTTCGAGAGAAAGAGAGAGAGAGGAATGGGGTTTAACGTCCACTTGACACAAACTAGGTCATTTCGGGACTAACATATCGTTTATTTCTTTTTTATTTCAATTATTCGGGTGAGAGGTGGGGATAGTCTTTTGTCATGCATCTGGCGATCGTGTGACGCCTTGGCACGGTGAGAGCCTTCAGTCTTGGAAGCAAGTCTAGTTATTATTTTTCTTTT